GTGTATATATATATATATATATATATATATATATATATCCTCTTTGATTATAAGAAGTAAGAAGGAAACCTTGGCACGGTCAGTTAGAGGTAGCCTGCACACAACCGCATGCAAACAGTCTTTGGTTGAGGATATTGCTGCCAAGTGATGTTTCTCCAAACTCCCCCATCTCTCCACTGCTTTCATCTGATCCACATGCATATTTCGATACATCCCATTGTTTAAGATATATATACATATAAATCTAATAATAATAATAATAAGTTAATAACGCACTAGTCTACTAACCTGAGGAGAAATTAGGGTATGGAGCTTAAGGCTTAGTTTGTGATTGGCCAGCTGCAACCTCTTCCGTGTCACGGCGGTTTGCAATTCCGACAACCCAATCCATCCGCCCAGCAATGCATTCTGCGCGTACGTAGGTACGTGTGAAGTCGAGGGAGGAGACCAATTATAAACTATAAATTATAAATAAACATAATTTAATTAAAAATATTACCTGAGCCGTGGTCCACTTGTTTGCGCTAACCGCAGTCATTCTCCCGTTGAGAAACCTCCACTGCATCAACTGGTTGTGCGCCATTCTCAACTTATGCTGCAATTCCACTGTCGCCGGCACTCCTCCTCTCGTCGGTGAACCAACACCCTCCGCCATTCCTTTTCTCCCCGACAACCCATTAACATCCGCTTCCTTTCCCACCAATGATGACTTCGTTGTTACGCCCGCCCCGGAAAATGATTTTCTCCTGAACAAGCTCCCCAATCCCATGCTTATTATATTCCCCATCCCTCCACCGATTATTCCCTTAGCAGGTGGTGAATTCTGCCGCCTCAACACCGGCGACCGCGAATTATATGGAACCGGCGGCGATCGCGAATTCCGCATAACAGGGGATTTGGACCTCCGAACTGGGGAACCCGATTTCCTGATGAGCTTGCCGGCGATCTTGACGGGAGCTCTCGATCTTGAATTCCGGGTGTCTTTGCCGTCGGACTCGGTGCTGGGGAAGTCGATGCCAACTTCTGATCTTCTTCTGGCGTGCTTATTCTTGCTGTCCTGCGGGAGACGGGAGGCGGATGGAGCATTGGGTCCGGAAAAGGAGGAGGAGGAGGAGGAGGAGGATGGTGAGGGAGGCGTTCCGGGCTGTTTCTTATTGATCGATTTCAATGATGATAATGTTGACCGAGAACGTCTTCCCTTTCGGGGATTGCTCGAGCTAATCTCAAAAGCAGGGGAGTCCGTGCCGGCGGCGCGCTGTCGGGAGGAGAAAGTGCTTGCAGCGTGTGTTGCAACGCCGACCATAGGCCGACCATTTTCTGCTGCTTCTTCGTCCTCTTCTTCTTCGTTCTTGCAGTCGTTGATTAGATGGTCTAGGAGCGTGGCGGCGATGACGCCGGTGTTAGGAGCATCTGGTAGGTTCTTGGCGGAAGGCCAGAGGCCGCCGCGGATATTGAGGGATTCGGCGGAGCGTTGCTTGCGGAGTACTTTAGTTGGGGTTTGGGAAAAGGGTTTCCTGCGTCGACGAGGGGAGGTTGATACATGTGTTGATGTAGGATTTGTAGGGGAGTCGCCGCCGGAGGACGGAGAGGAGGGACAGATGGTGGTTGTGGTGGTGGTGGCTGCCACGGGGCGGAAGCGGTGGGACAGCACTCTGGAGATGGGTCTTCTCTTCTCCATCCCTTTTATGAATTATAGTTGTTTTGGCAGAGAAAATTTATTACAAAGGCAGATGACGGAGGATGTTTATAATTTGGAATATGGCGGGGGATTGATCAAACTTTGGGCATGAAAGCCGGTCTCTCCACTCTCTTCTGCTGCTGCTCTTCCTTCAATGGTGATTACTGATTAGTGCAAGATGTTTCAAAATGCGATTATTATAATTAATCCATTAGTTTAGGGTGGAAGGGGTCGTTGTGGGAAGGCAATCTGACTTTCAACAGAAGCAACTATTCGTAGCCACGTGTCAAGCACTGGTAACGTGCCATGCCGGCCGTTATTATTTTATATGTTTTTTTTAATTTTTTTTTTTATTTTTTTGGCATTTTTAGCTGTGGCAGTTAATTTTTTTATTTTTATTTTTTTGGCATTTTTAGCTGTGGCAGTTGTGACTTGTGAGTGAGCGAGCAACTCTACATGGCAAGCATATGCCCGGCCGGCAAATGCATTTTTACTGCATTTATTTTAAACTAAATTTATCTCATAAAGTTGATAATATTTTGCATTATATTGATTAAAAAATAAGAAATTAGAAGCCCAACTCCTCAATCTTTAATCGATGGGGCTGCGGCTTATTTTTGCATTATATTCATTAAAAATTGAGAAATTAGAAGCCCCAACTCCTCAATCTTTATCGATGGGGCTGCCGCTTACTCTTGAAAATATATATCTCAAAGTTAAATGCGGACTAACCGCCTTCTACTTTATTCAAACAAGACTTGAACATAATTCAAATGGATAATGTTCAAATAAGTTCGATCATAACTTATCTATGGTACGTAGAATAAGAGGTATTGTGACAAATTTAACACATTAGATATAAGTTGATACAATAAAGGGCAAAATAACATTATGAACGTATCAGAATAAATAAAATACCAAAATATATAAAATAAATATAATAATACAAACCAAGAATTATAACATATAAAAGTTCAATCCAACAACTAGATCACATCAGAGAGAGAGATCATTATATCTATGATACATCATAGTTCAATCCACCAACCATAACACACTAAATTTCATTAGAAATAATTAATGAAAGAATATATGTTTATAGTAAACGTTATCCAAATGAATAGAAAAATGATTTAATCATGTTTGAATAGACTAATTAAGTAATGCTGACATAAGCCTCCCTTTATATATATACTATGTATGAGCGTGGGTCAATTTAACATTATATAACTCATAAAAGCCACAAATGCAGAAATACATGCTTGTTTACTATTTTGAAGAAATATACCTAAAATTTAGTTTTGAACCAAAATATCTCTCATCTAATTGCTAACAATGATTTAAAGTTTGTTGTAAATAAGATCATTTTAATCATTCACATCTATAATAATATGAATTATACAGTAGATACAATAGAGTATAATCCAACAATTATACCACAACAAAGAGCTACTATAACTATGATACAATATAGTGTAAACCAATGTTTATAACTTAGAGTTCAATACACTAACTATATGACAGTCAATCTGACAACTATGATATATCAATATTCAATCCATCAGCCATAACACATCAAATATAGATAGGAACCATCAAATCAAAGAATATACTTCTACAATAGTGTCATTCAAATGAATTGAAAAAAAAAATGCTTATATGATGATTCAATCGAATTTGAATATAAATTTATATTTTATGAAATAAGTCGACATAAACAGTATTGGTAAAATTGTATATGTACAACTTCCAAGTCTTTTTTTTTTTAATAGTTAAGTAGATGTCTTCTATCACATACATTTCATAATATCTATTAAAAATTCAACAAAATACTCTCATTAAACAATATTGGATAATGCATCATATATATTTTTTAAAGCTTCAAATGACTTGAGAATCTCATATGTGCTGGCTCTCAGCCGCTTTCGAGTAGTTTAAATGTAAGAAAGTTATTGCTATCATTAAATAATCCAAATACTTCAATTAACATAGAGAAATAGTGAGATAACATACTCATCTTTACCGGTAAATCTATTTTGAATTACAAGAATAATCATACAACATTATGGATTAAAAAAACAGTGAAAATTTTCATATCATCCAATAAACTTCGTTCCAGTTCATCTTTACATATATGAGTTACACATCAACTCATAATTAAGGAACTTTTCCTCCTCTCCGAGAGCATACATAGGGGCTTTTTCAAGCCACTTGAATGAAACTTTCCACTTTGTCATGTTGCATGTAGAGATTATTTCTTAACATTATTGAAGAAATAATTCTTCCAACACAGTGACACCTAATTCACAGATCTTTAATTATTTCTAAATTAATTCCCTTGTAAGATAATAGAAAAAGCATATATGCTTAAAAATTTAAAAATAAAATTATTCTATTCAATTATTCAAAAAAGCATACATTAAATAAAGTAATATAATTCTCATTACATAATCTAACTATGCAGACAGTATATTCAACAATTAAAAACCAGCAGCGCTTTCGCAACCTACTCTTACCTCTATTTTTGGAATTAATCACCAATACTGACATCAAAGACTATGGAAGACAATTGTCCCTCATCAATTAAACAGCGGGGATTAATGACAAATTACTCTATGTATTTGTGCCTCTTTTTTTATGGATCCATTTAATCCCCAGTTAAATACTTCTTGCTCTTTTACGTCCTATAATGTATTAACTTCGTTTCATTTTTATGTATATACTAGCAAGTAAATGACTAACATACCCCACATTTTTGACCTCCTCATTTGTATGCATCATAGTAAAGAATTGACAAACATCCTCTATCTCCACATTTCTCACAACCTATTTCTTCTTTTTCTCCTATTAAACATCATCCCTAACCTCAACAAAATGAAATAAGTCAACAATAAATACATCATCGCTCTCTTCCTTTTCTTCTACATTTGACAAAACTTTAAGCAAAATTGATCAGTGCATTCAATTTCTACTCCCAACTCCTATCTAATAACAAAAAAGTTATTTTAACCCTTATTAAAAAGGCCTTAATTGACTTATCGTTGATTATGGCCTTATGCTTTTGATCACTCTCCTGCTTCTTCTTAGAAATGATGGTGTTCATTATTTTCTTTATAATTTTAATTGAGTTAGAATTCTAATTGAGTTAGACGGAGTAAACACATGGATCACAAACGCATAAAAGTTCTCATCAGCTTTATGCACCAATGTAAAATTAATAATTGGGGCTATAAGAAATTAAAAAAAAAGGCTTGTGAGTAAATTTATAATAATGATTGAACACATTAACAAAATATTTGGTCAACACATCTTTATTCCGTAGCATTGATAAAAATTTTTGCCAATAAGCATCATGCTATGTTTCCGGCACAAATCCTAAGTAATCTAGATTCTCAAATTGCGAGGCCAGTAAGAAATTGCCAATAAGTCACTAAATCCTACAGGGAAGTCGGGCATACTCGCTTAGACCCAAAGAAAGCATCTCAAAGGCACCAAACAATCAATCCTAAAACAAGTGATAACATTCCACCTCTTGTTGCTAAATGATAAAAATCTAATGAATGCCCACAACAACAACCATTTAACGTGCTTGATGATGAAGTCGGTGACAAAGATACATGCAACTACAATAACGGATATGATGATTCCTAGTGTGAAATAGAGGTTGCCGAGACAGACAAAAGTAAACAACTTGTGTGCATTATTAGGCTTCTCTTATCAGCTAAACCACACGATTCAAGTCCAAAAGACATTATATTCCAACTCTCCCCACCAGTCCTGAACCAAAATTCTGTACAAAACTGAAGAAAGGAAAGTTTTTTTCTCTGCCTAGCTACCACTAAAGTCACTATTAAGTATTCCGCATGAAGTTGAGATTTTGCTAAATAATATTCCGGATATACTGCTCCAATTTGCACCATTACAAGATGCGCGACACCCGATCAATTTCATCCTGGAAGCAAGTCTTCATAATCTATCACATTATTAGATGGGTCCAAAGGAACAAGACATTTTGCAAGGAATTGTGGATTATTTGGTGTCCCAACAGTTTGTTAGAGCAAGTCTTAGCCCTTGGGTCATACCATCCTTAATGGTGCCAAGCAAGCGCAGCTCTTGGTGCATGCACGTGGGCAATCAAGTTATCAACAAGAACATAGTAAGTTTTGGTTCCCGATACTCCGGTAGGAGGACATACTCAGACAAATTGAATGGATCAAAAATCTTTTCTAAGCTCAATCTCAAAAGCATGTACCCTCTGTCTGCATTCGGCCAGAAGATGTGGAAAAAGATTTTCAAAGTCAAAGAAGGGCCCTACGAATGGCAAGTAATGCCCTTTAGCCCATGTAATGTACCAGATACCTTTAAGTGTTTAATGATTCAAGTTTTATGATCATTCATTGGCACTTCAATGGTATACCTGCCTACAATGAAAACTAAACAAAAAATTTATCACAGCTCAAAAAAGTCATGAACACCTGGAGTATAGAGAAGCACATCTTCTGGTCATGTTTCTTCCACGAGACTGCTGCCATTCGAATCCTTCCATTTTTGCATCATAACTCATTTTGTTCACGCTTCACAAATCTGTTTGAATGCTTTGATTTTAGCAATAGGCTAGTCCCATCCTCTCATAATGCTGATGCTGCTTCGGCCTGCGAATGATTTGACCTGCACTAGCTTCCACCTCACAAGTCAGACCCGATCTCTCACCGAGTGTCGAATGCTTGGAAACCGAGAGTTGTGCATCTCTCTCTAGTTCATGTTCACTCATCTGACCGAATAGTCAGAACTAGGGTCCTCTCATTTTTCGCTCCAACAATTGATTCTATAGTCAGAACTAAGGGTCCTCTCATTTTTCGCTCCAACAATTGATTCTCGATTCGACCTTCACAATCTTATCATTATCAAACACGACATGGCATCACAATCTTCTTTCTTGGAAGTTACCTCTAGATCCAAGCCTGCATTCAAACTTCTCACGTAGTCACAAACCATAAATGGCATGACCATAATTTCTTTCAAAAGTCATAGTCCGTCTTCATGTACATTTGTGGTAGATAGAAATAATGACATCTCACAGGCGAAATTTCAGCTTTAAAAATGACTGATTCAAACTACCGGGCCTGAAAAACTGACGATCATATCGTTATGTAATAGTTAATAAATTATTCCATTACCACGAAGGTTGGAGAAAACTTCCTACACTATAGGACAACCAAAGAGATATAAGAGATTGCCTGTGAAACTTATTCTAGTATTGAAAACTCCTCAGAGTTATTTGACAGAGATCCAAACTACACGAGCTTACTAAAAGGAGAAATGAGTGTTATTCAATATTTGAACACACTCACCTGCTATTGGCTACAACCAGACACGTACGAGGTTCATTCCTGAAAATGTCCTGATGATTTTGCCTTGCATAGGAAAATTACTTACCCAAAAAAAAAGAAAAAAAAAATCAAATTTCTCCTTGAACTAAATAAAATGATTTAAATTAAGATATATGAATGTGTAATGCAAAATTTGAGAGAATAAAAATTCCTTCAAGAATTCTACAATGGGGCATCAGTTCGAGTTGATGGGTTTAATTCGGGTCTAACATGAAATTAACCCAAATATACTTGACCCAAACCCAACTCACTTACTACAAGGTTAAAATATTTAACTCAATTTGAACACACCTAGCACAAAAGTAACCCGCTTAAACCATTTGCTATAGTAATCATGCAATTTTTGAATCAAAACAATCCAATTAACTGAATATGGATCGTTAACCTAATTAATCAAACTCAAACCTACCTAACCCAAAATTGAATAAGAAACATGCTAATTTTGACTTAGTCAACTCAACCCAAACTCAACCAAAATAAAAATCGAGTATATAATTTAGATCTGAATCCAAACCAAATAATAATCGAGTCAACTCAAACTCAAATTTTTAAGTCAGGATGTTAGGTCGTTATTTCATGACACCCCTATTGAATACTAAAGCAAAAATCACAATGAAGCTCGACAAAAGTAAAAAACAAACAAAAAGGAGTACTACATGGTTATCAAAGCATTACAACATGGGGAGCATTACTTGATTTAAAAAGAGTTCACCCCATATAGTGACCATCAAGCTTTCAAATATTTGAATTCGCAAAAGACTTTGTCAAAAAAGCATCCTCCATAGGTTTTTTTTCTTTCCTTCAAAAACTTACATTCCAATTTAAGTATCAGATAGGCCACCTATACCAAACACAAATTGCACTATGCAGGCAAGTCATTCTCTTGTTAACATTACAAATGAAGCTTGTTAGTATCGAAGCCTTCAAAGACTTGTATGTTGATGATAAAAACATTGGCAATATATGGGATGGCTGCCTTAAATAGCTTCATCCAGAAAAAATCAATTTAATTAAGGTTAATTATTCAAAGTAAATCAACTTTTCCTTCCATAGACCTCATTGTGTGAGTACCTTATTAAATATTTACATGCTAGAGGTCCTGCAGCTAATACATGGTGCAAAAGTCTATCATTGCTATTGAAGATCAATTTTGTTAGCCACAGATGCACCGAGCTATTGCCAACAATGTGCAAAGCTGTGATAATTGTCAAATTGAACTAACGAAATGTAGAACATGACTAATCTTTAACAAATGATAAAAAATGAGACTGTCACTTTGAAACTTTGCTATAGCCCAAACACAAATGTTCAACAATTGCCAGATTTAGAGAGCTATCGTGAAGAGGAACAGTCTAGGAGTTCATATGATCAAAATAATGCATAATAGCAAATATTTCAACTCATATTTATAAAATGTGAGGATAATTTGATCCTAGATGAACTTTCAAACATATTTATATTAAAAACAAAACAAACAGCAAACATATAAGGTCAATCTTGGGAACAATGAGGCATGTAAGGTCTAGGGTTTAGGGTATATATATATAGAAAATAAAACAGAGAGAACCAAATTTGAAATGAAACTCTCTTTAAATGTTAAGGCACTAAAAATGAAAAACACCTTTCTCATCTACTGAATATTTAGAACTCTTTAAGCCATCTTAGTAATTGTCGTGATGAACATATAAATGAGGGGCAGAGAAGAAAGTTTCTTACAGTTGGGATAGCCGACACAGAATCTATAACGGATAACTTGAAGTGGCTCTCACGATTCCCACAGATGGTTATATTGATAATTGAGCTTATTTATTTGTAGAACGATTAGGCTCATAACTAATTACATTACATCATTTATTACTGTATGATGGCAGGCTACAGTCCATAAAGTTTGGAAGAAAAAAATAAATTTCAAAAAGAAATTGGAACAAGAGAATCCCGATTACCTGAAAGTTTTATTCATAAAAAACTGTTGAAATAAGTTGACGATTATTACGAAAGCTTTTGATAACCGTGTTTCTTCCAATTTACACAATGAACCTGATGCAGCTGGCCTGCAAAGAACTGATGACTAAAGAGAATGATTTGGTACTAACTGTCATCTTGCTTCAGCCTGAACCCTCACTCTTAAGTATTTCCACTTATTCTGATACTTTATGAGTACCAATTTCTGTTTCTCAGATTCTCCCAACTTTCCAAAAGCTACAGCCACTCTTTTCACCGTATCAGCATCAGGTCTCACACCCAGCTCCTCCATGTCTGCAAATACCTCCACAACTTTCTCAGGAAAATGATGATGATCATAGAGAGCAATCATTCTAGAAAACAACCGCTTGGATACCGATCTCGTGTGCCTCTGAAGAATCATAACCCATAATTTCTCTGCCTCGTCCAACCTTCCATCCCTTTCAAAAGCAAGCAGCAGACTATCGTATGTTCCCATAGTGAGAACTTGACCTTTGCTCAACAACCACTTGCTCACCTGTATGATTCTCAGCCATTGGTTTCTCCTTCGAAGAATTTCCAGCGCTTTCGCGGCTGCAATAACTGGAAATTCTGTCTCCCAGGCAGTCAATTTGTCCAACGCTCCGTAAATGGCTTCTTTTTCGTTTGGAAGCTTTGAAACGATGCGAACGAGATGGAGAGCTTTTTGACCGGATCCTGCAGAATCTCTCTTCATCCATAAATGGTGCTCCTTTTTTCCTGATTTCGAATAAGAGTTTGGCGGATTGTTCATGCATGTAACCACGGACGATGGAGTCCGGAACAATGATGAATTTATCAAAGGAAGGCCGGTGGAGCACCACTTGGGGAGAAAATTGGCCCGAAATCGTAACCCTAAGCCAAATTCCGCCATTTCGCCCTTCTGTACCAAAGACTGAGAGGCGTAATAGACCAGGACTCGCCAATGCACCAGACAAAGGGAAAGTAAACTGTTGCGATGACGAGATATGAAGAGGAGTGAGGAAAAAGGCGGCAGCAGAATAGGGGTGTAGGAGAGAAGATTTTTGCTGACGTAGCTCTACAAGTGTTACTGAACCCAGCAGAATAGGGGTGTAGGAGAGAAGATTTTTTGCTGACGTAGCTCTACAAGTGTTACTGAACCATGGGGAGAAATATTCCCTCAGTACTGTGCGGCACCTGTAAATCACGGTCCCACTTTTCACTCGTGGAAATGAAATGGGCCACGAATCTTTATACATTTGGTAAGTTTTTTAATTTTATTTATTTTAAGAAGCATTTACATACATACCGCATAATTCTTATATATTTATATGCCTAATTTCTAAAACATCTTATTTACATGCATATTAATAAAATTTCTAACACCAAATCAAACATGTCATCATTATTAACTTCTACAAAATAAAATACAGTGTTTCTTACAAAAATTTATAACACCAAAATATTATAGATCATAAGAAATGCAGCAATGAATTCCTGATATAATCACAACTTCATCAGAAAACTAAAACAGTACTAATTCAAATATTTCATCAGAATACAATGATTCTATCAAGCTTTTATGCGGGTTATTGTTGTTGATAGCTACTACAGTAGTCGTACTGTTTCCGTTTATCATTTTGCATTTAAAACCTAGTTCTTTACGCGTAAATTTCAAATAGCGACCATAAACAACATTCAAAGTATTATTGCTGACTCCAATTGTTGCATCCTTATTCCGTCAATCAATTTATTTTGGCAAGCTCAAAAACTGGTCTTCAATTTCAAAATGGCAGATTGCAGAAAATTGGGATTCAGCACTACAAGCATGATCAAAGGGAAACGGCAGTCTAAAATCATAACTCCTAATAAATTGCCACTTTCTCCATTTCCTTTCAGAATTAACCTTGTATTGGGATGAAATATGATACTAGTGGATTTTTGCACTTTGTAAATAATTACAATAAGCAAGCTATAAGAAAATGTACAAATAGCAGGATTTAGTCTCCAAAAGTACTATAAAATGTGTACAAATGGTAAGTGAGATCTTTAAACCAATACCCTAACGGCTAAATTTACAATGCAGTTCCATTTTTGTAATGGAAAAAGCCATGGCAGCAAAATCTTGTCTGCCACAATCTCACCGACAAAAACATTTAAAATTAAGATCCTCTGCACTTTGTAAGCTCACATTTGCATTGAGAAGTTGGCAAGGAAACTTCTGTTGTCATCACCTAGAACCTCACAGCTCCTTTCACCAGTAGAAACAACAAACCAAAAAGGAAGTATTCTCTTTCCACCAGAAACGTGAAGGCAGATGTGAACAACAGCAGTTTGGCACCAGGGCAGTAATTTCACGGGACAAAAATAATTTGAACTCCAGATTGCTTCCTCATAGGGAGCCTAGCTGCTTCAAAGTGATTGTTGGCGATAGGGTCTTGGAGAGATCCTAATCAAGATCATTCTGGAAAGCTACAATCATGCTTCCAGGAACGTCAACAGGTGACGGTTCTTCTTCTCGCTCAGGCTGTATATTCAGATCAATCTGTGTTTTTATAGGAGAAGGTGTGGCCCTCTTCCGCTCAAATTCATCATCAACTAATCCATTGTTTGGATTCAGTATTGGAGGGGAGTTCCCGAGACCTGCATTATGAATAATGCAAGCTGATGGAGAAGGTGGCGTTTGTGGCAGCACCTGTGCTGGTTGAGTACAGTTTTGCTGCTTTGTGGGAGTTTCACCATTCTCAGATTCCTTTTCAGACTGGCGCTTCTCTCGTCGGAGCATTAGAGTTTGGAAGCGACGCTTAACAGTGAGGCAGACGTTGCACGTGCAAGTCTGCTTGTGCTTTGGCCCTTTGCCACTAGGGGGTTGGATGCAAACAATGCAGGTGCAACCAGGACGGTGGCGTGGGTGCTTGGTAGTTGGCTGGGAGGAAACTGAGTGGGATTTATTTTCCCCTAGAATGGCAAGGTTTGCAAGTGTGTCAAGCCCATCAGATACTTCAAAATTCTCATCCTCAAACTTCAGCTTAGATTTCTTGGAGGAACCTGGGAAAACAAGGTTACGATTTGAAATCAATTTAACTTTTGGAACACAAAGAAACATCATGTACTTGATAAAAATAGATTTTCCAATTTTCACTTGTGAATGTCCTATCAAGCAGAGCAGGCCCTCAAATTTACGGATGTAAACAGTAGACATCAAGCCTGGATTCTTTAATCATGAATGCTAAATTTAAGCTGCTGCATGAAAAAGCTCAAGCAAAACAAACTGGATAAGCTTGAGACAAAGTAGGAGATTAAGGTTGTGGAGTGAGCTTGGTGGTGAAAAAGCATTTCTCACAACCTAAAAGATAAAAGTAAGGTTGAAGGAAGGGCGAGGATGGTTGCCTGATAATAAGGAGAGTTCGGTAGAGGAAGACAGATTGCTGGAAGAAAGAACACCAACAAATAGCATAACTGTTAACGAGGATGAATCATCAGAAAAATGTATAGACTAATATCCATCATCATTGCTAGAGAGCAGCAACTATGGTGAAGAAGGTTAATTTGTAGGCCATGCATGGTGAAATCGATCAAGCTTTCATGCCCCCGCAATGAGCAATTCAAGAGAAGATCAAGCCAAAATGAAGGAATTTTGATGGGTGGGAATTAGGATTCCTCTCTTGATGTAAATTTACTCCCATACCCCCACAATAAAGTTAACAAGCTCCATTTGTCAAGCTCTCATGTCAAGCCCGGTTGATCTTGACTCGAGGCCTGTTAATAAATGAGCCAGTAATTGTGTTTAAGGCTGGAAACAAGAGCTTATAAATAAAAAAGCTTCATGAGCTGTCTATTGAGTCACACTTGAGCCAGCACATCTCAATTATATCCCAACTACGATTACTTCATTCACAAAATAAATATTTTCCCAGTTTCAAAAAATAAACAATTCCTAAATTATGTCAAAGATTACTTTTCCAAGCTGTCTTTTATCACAAGAGTGGACAAACCAGTAAGTCTACTAAGCAAGAAACCAGAAAGAAAACTTTCAGGGCAAAACGTACCACATTTCATTGGAAGTAGATGTCTTGTCTCCATAGAAATTTCCTGAGGAGCCGAGCATGAAGATCTGCACATGTGAAGAAGTCAGAACTTACTAGCTAATTTTACTACATCATTACGTACATTAGATGCTTAAGGATGCATTCATTAAGAAGAAAATACACACACACACACACACAATTTCCTCTCTAAATGACTCACACGACTTCATGGCTCATTTTTGAGTTTTGTCCAAATTTTTAACGTCATCCTTCTAATGGAAAAACATGTACTTAAATAAATTTAGACTCCTAATTTACAAAACCAGCCCCAATAAAATTGTACCATAGCCAGCCCCTCCATAATCCAAGGATTTCCGTTGATATGAACATAAACTGAATGTTAAACATTAAAAGACCAATTAATCTAATAGGATCCGGAGTAAAGTTTTCATCTATGATGCATGGACAATTCTAATTAAAGAACCGTGCAATGTAAGACACTTTTTAGACACCGACACTCGCTCGACACGTCTCGGACACGTGCTAGACACGTTCTTGACGCATCCGATTTAAATAATATTAATATAAAAATGGGCACGTCTTAAATTAGTGAATTAAAAAATTTTAAAAAATACATTTTAAACATCTATGGTATATTTTTAAGTAAAATAAAAAAAATATATATTTTTTTTATTTAAGGATTAAACCTATATTTTCAACTTATTCATTGATTTCATTTCACAAACGAGCTCGAGAGGTTCATCAATCTGACGCTTGGGCTCATATTTTTTGTTATGAACATCTTACTTTTTGAAGGTATTGGTATTAAATTTCTTATTTTTTATTATTCTTAATATTTTATTTATTTATATATATCTCTTGCTCGAGCTTAAGTCTACGAGTTCGAGCTGTCACGATCCGAATCGGAGCTTGGAATTAACTAAAACGGATACAGACGGCAAGACAGTGTGAATTAAATTTTCTATACAATTTAACAAATGAAAAAAATCACTATAAATTAAATTAAAGCGGTACAATTAAAATTAAATTGTTCATGTTTGTTCGCATTTTCTTTAAATATTTCTCATCTATTGCTCATCTTTTAATGCTTTAATTAAACCTGGAAAGTTAGTTAAAATAATTGCGAGCTAAACGAGTCAGTGAATACTCATACTTCTAAACTATAGCCATACAAGGATAAGAAAAAAAATATATATGAATGTCAATTAAGTTTTTTTATAAATCAATATAAACATTTGTCACATTATAAAATGGGTCTATATCGATATCATTTTAATATCCTTTCATATCTATATAACTATCACAGGAGACACTGTATAAAAATTGTGTCAATTAAAACATTCACATCAATATCTTTTTCCTTTACATGCATGTGTACATTTGTGTTCCCCTACTAGTACCATCAAGGGGGGCTTCATCAAAGTCAGTCATGCACATACAAACAGTCAACATAAATATTTGTATTTATCGCACAAAATTCAATGTAATATAAAACATTCACCAAATACATGAGTAAATAGCTACAAAATCCATAACGATATGACCAATAAATAAAAATAATATCTCAATCAGGAAAAAAACATGCACAAATATCATCAAGTGAAATACATTTGAGAATAAATAAATTATTATTATTATAGTATAAAAGTACGAGTGCTCAACTTGATGCTGATTGTTTGTGCTTGAATTTGTATTGAGGTCAATTCCTAAAATAAATATGGTATTCTTATTATTAAAAATTAATTTTATTAATTATATCATTATATAAATTTAATAATTTATATTATTTTAATTAATTATTAAGTTTACATTAATTAAGTATAAGATTTTCATTATTTTACCTTATATAATCATGTTTTTATTCAATATATATATGTATAAGTATTCTTAAGTTATAAAACTTACCTTCCTTGATCGAACACCACACACACACGCACGCAACCGAGGCTTGGGCTCCCGCACGATTCTCCTTCCTCACATCGCCTGATTTGACAATCGCACCAGAGGACGCCTTCATCTCCCCTCTTCTACTCAACGTTGACGTTCGTTGCTGCCCGGTAGGTGAAAAACCTAGCGTCATGCCATAGCTCAATAAATCCTCCTCCAGCGGCGTCCTCTCCTCTACAATTTTCTCCTTCCTCCTCTGTTCTCTGATTGCATTCCTGTCTGATGCGCAATTTATAGGCGAATTCCTCTATTCGACTTCTCTACTGTTCAATTCCTCTTCCCGCCTCCTCACTTCCCATCGTTTCTGTTCGACAACCCGACACTTCGCTTCATCTTCCCCGATTCTTCGTTTCCTCTCCCTCTGTAACTGAAAAGAGACTATTAAAAGAACCGGCTCGTGATTCGACTTATTTAATATGTAATAGAGAAAATGATAATAACTTTAAAGAACTTTATAATAAGTTGGCAAATAGGATGAACAATTAGGAGACAAATATTAAGAAATCAAATAATATACATTAAAAAATATTATTTTCTTAACTTTTTAAATTCTTTATGATAAAGTTTTGAAATTAATATGTTTTGAGTATATTTTATGTTAATATTTTCCTAAACAAGCTGGCTCACGAGCTAACAAGCCGAATCGGGGCTGGCTTGAACTTAGCTTGTTAGCTCATCGAGCTCAGTTCACGAGCCACTTATCGAGCCGGCTCACGAGTCAGCTTGACTCACTTGCAACCCTATCTGAAGCGTGCCAGTGTATTATATTTTTATTATTAGAAACATCTTGTGTCTGTGTCGTGTCGTATTCGTGTCCCCGTGTTCGTATTCGTGCAACATAGGTTCTCAATAGGAGGCACTCTTAAGTGAAATTTCCTTAAGATATGCCCCGAAATAATGTAATGTTTCGATTGAATTAAAAAAAAAAAACTCTGCAGATATTCAGTTAAACTCCTTTCCGATATGCCCTTAAATAATTGTAACATTTAAAAATCAGAGGCAAAACCACATGGCATAAAAAAGGTATAATTATTTGGAAAGGTCAAAGTTTGCTCACATCAGAGATTTGGTAAATAGCAATCACTCACAAGACATCAGAAATGACCAATATATTATAGTTTATTATCCGCTAATTGAATCATATTAATATAGCGTTTATGCTTAAATTAACAAGACATTAGTAGCTACCCGGGGACAAATTGTGCCACCCAAACAACTGAATTTTAGTGAATTAAGTGTGAAAATTGTACAGATGGACCGTTTGTAAAATTTTTTGTTGGATTTTACAAACGTTCTTGTAATCCTGAATAGATTTTACGTAAGATTTTCTCAACCATACGTTAAGTCAGGTTTTGCACATCAATTAGCTAATTCCTTGGAAAAGAGGAATTCCTTAGTAAGGGTGTCAAAAATTGACCTGACATGCCAACTCGACCCCAATTCGACAAGAAAAATTCAGGTTCAGGTTGACCCGAATAAGGTCAGGTTCATATTAAATATCATGACCTCTTCAATTTTTTGAGTCAGATTCAGGCTGACTCGCCAACCCTATATTGACTTGAAAACGACCTGCTAACTTAGAATTGACCTGAAATTGACTTGAAATTGACTCGAAATTAACCAAAAATTGATCCTATTTAAACCTGAATAGTCGTTAATCCTTAAGTTAAACGGGACATAAAAGTTGGGTTTGAGTTGGTGGGTTGAAGGCAGATCAGGTTCGGGTTGAGATTTTCAACCCATATAATATTCAGATCGGTTTCGGGTCATACTTATTTGGGTTGTGCCAATTTTGGGTCGGACCCAAACCCGACCCACTGACTCGAGTTGACACCGCTATCATTAGCTATGCGACTTCCTTCCACTTGTAGTCTTAGGTGGCCCCAGTGCCTTATTAGTGGCTAGGGAGATGGCCACACGAACTCTTTAGTCATGTAACAAGAGCAAAAAGGTAGAGCAGAGACAAAGGTGTTTGGGCCATAAGACTCCAGTAAAGTTCTGGATGAGGGCCGTGGAGTCATAGGCAGAGGGGAGGAGCCTTAGAGAAAGCTTACGAATTCACGTAGCACCGGAAGCAAATGAATATTGCTTACAATATAATGTTACTTCATACAATACGATTAATATCATGAATTAAATATGATAAACTACAAATAATCAAATATGACATTACACCATGATTTACATGTTTTACAATGCTTCGGGCATTTTTCCTATGTTGCAGTATGTGATAACATACTTCAAGAAAGAGACATTGAATAAAGATTTAATCAGGCATACAGTAGTATCTGGATACTACTATAACAGTTAAGTTGCGGTAAGAACTATGTAATTAAGTGTTGAATCCACAAATGTTTAACGATAAACCAATAAAAAAAAAGAACAACCATGATTTTATAGGGGTCGACAATATCACCAGGAAATTCTGAGTGAACTTTCAGGAAAAATTACAGCTATTACAACCTAAAAAAGAGTGAGGCAAACAGAAGATGAAGTTTTAACCATCGGTCTCAGCATATTGAAGAATGCAATTCCATCATAAAGTTAACAAAGTTGAGAGAGAAAATCAAGCAACAGTACATAAAATATGTCAGGATAATGCAAAATCACCTTTCCGGATCCCACTTGTTATCAGAACAAGTCCATCTATGATGCAGAAGAGCATCCAATGGAAGCCTGCGCCACTTGGAACAATTTTCACACTGCACCCAGCGATTATTAATATCCCTGGTTTGTAGAAAATAGAATCGAAAGCATAAATACAATCAAACTCTTTAAGTTTAGGGCACATGCAACAAAAAATAAAACTGTTCAAGTCTATAAAGAGACAAACATGCCAGAATAAAATAATGGAACAGTTCAAATCCTTTCATATTTATGAATCCTTATTTAGTTCTTCCATTTGAGAGCTGCAGTGTTGAATTACAATCTAGATAAATCGTTTTAGACAGCTAGTAGATCACAATGCCTTAAGCTCCACCCAACGTCATAATCAAGATCAGCCTAAGGCCCTTCCCCAAGTACCACAGGTCGGTACGCCCTAGTTTCACTACTCCCAATCAAATCACATAAATAAGCTGTGGATTAGTCTCAAACCCTGCAACAGCTACCGCAGAAATAAAAAATAAACACTTGAAGAAAATGCTAATCAACGGTGAGAAGGTGTTACTCCAACTGGACCTGATAAAACAAAGTGTACATGTGGTGAAAAACATGTTTTAACAACTATGGATGATAGCAGATAAGCAGCTCACCGTCAAAATCCATGTGCTTGAAGACTACGTTTGTCAGCACATATTCATCTTGCCGCTATACCAGTTTGTTGCATAAGCCCCTTCCAAGAATGAAACTAAGTGCAAAAAAACTGCATAAATAATCTTATAAAATTATGGATAACATACCCTTTGCCTCCCCAGGAATTCCACTAAAACCTTATATTTTCGATCTAGAATTCTCCCTCTCTCTTGCTTCACCTTTTCACATTAATTAACAATTTCTGGTCCCCATGTAAGATACCTTTACAGCAAGCCTGCATTTAACCACCCAAGACGAGTTGTGTGGGCTCTGAAACTCGCTCCCAGCTTTCCTTGGGGGTTTTTTGTGATTGTTCTGGATAAAATTTTCAAAACTAAATTAAATTGTAGATAAGACGAATACAAAGATTTCACCTTTTTTGCGAAGACATTCTATTTGGTTCCAAGTTTTATTAGGTGTAAGCCCTATGCGTAATTGCTCCTAACGAGAGAAAACATTAGGCTAGTTGTCAAAGCACTAATTGCTTAGTATATAATATCAACTGTTTGACTGTTGATTGGGAAAATTTACTGTTTTTAGCAAATAACATATCAATACCTCATAGCTTTAGCATCTTGGGTTATTATAGACTCTAATCTACTAAGGCAAAGGAGGTCTTTCACCCAATATGACCAAATAATTCTTGTAAGTCGTTATGTGTTGCGCTGCCCAAAAAAGCCATGTAGACCTAGGTGAATGCTCATCTAAGACAATAGTTTTAAATTAATCTGAACAAATAGAGGGCTTTGTACCCTATTAAGTGCATCTTATGATTCAAAACTCAATGGGAATGAATTTGAGCTTTGATTATGACCATAATATAATAATGCCATTTAGGAAAAAATCACTTGATTAGAGGGCTTTGGTTATAACCATTTTTTATTTTTGTGATATCATTTAGGAGCAAAATCACACAATCAGAAAACATAGAACCCAACCTTACTTGCGTGACACCTTTTCAAAGTGACCATAGTTTGTTTGATATGACATCAGCTCAATGCGAACTTAATTCAATGTTAAAATTATCTTCTTTAAAAAACTATTGTAAAGTGTGGATGGATTTTGCCCTTAGTTTTAGATAATAAATTTCGTTTAGAGAACTTTATCTTTTAATTTGCATTATCATCACTAAATTTTGCCATGAAAGTCATGCAAGTTGATTTGCATTGGGCTTTGGGTACATTCAAAAAGAGATCCCTTATAGCTGAGATTTTAAATCATCAAGGTATTTTACTTGAAGTATTTGTATTTGCAATTTATGATTTTAAAAACAAAACCCTCTAATTGAGATTTATTGTCATTATGGCCATTATCAAAGTTAAAATATCTTGCTTTGATTGAGATTTTATATCAACGCATCCATTATAGAATATTAGAATAACATTGTTAATTATGGTTGCTAGCATACAAAAGATCGAGTCGACAAGATTTACATGATTTAAAACATTCATCACGTTATATATCTTAACAAGTCTATCTTTATAAGTAAAGGACTGATTCTATAGGATAAACTCATTATTATAAAGTAAATATAACAATTAAGAGAGCTTCACAATTGGAATTTTTTTTTTAAATAAAATGCCTTGAAGACTATATGTAAATGGACAATAATGTAACTTTTGTGAAATTTGCCTGAAGCGTTTAACTCTGAGTCTTTTTGGATGAGCTGGACCTAGAATATGTTTAACCCATTCTCCATTATAATTTGGCTAGTAATTACTTAACTATTATAAAAAAACAACAAACTTGTTAACTCCAATTTTTATAAGACGTATATAACTTAATGAGTTTGAGTTTGTTATTTGGAAAAAAAGGGAGAATCTTCAAAATATTTGCATGTTTCTCAGTGAGGGCAATGCGATTAGATTTGTCATAAATAAGTGTAACATTCTTAGACTTTAAAATCAAGGAAAAAAAGGGAGAATCTGCAATTTTATAATATTTGGAAGTATTTCAAAATATTTGCATGTTTCCCAGTGAGGGCAATGCGATTAGATTTGACATAAATAAGTGTAACATTCTTAGACTTTAAAATCATGTGTTTAGTCGGAGCACTTGCGAATGTGTTTATATTATTTAATCTACACAACATTCGTGGATGTTTAAATTTAAGCACTTAATAGATTTGCTTAAGCACATGTGACTGTATTCTGTTTAACAGAAGTTACAGGACTTACAAATCAACTTGCATGACTTTCATGGTGTAATGCGAATTAAAAGTCATTAGCACTTGCAAGGCTTGAAATTATCTGAATTTTACTATTTCTATAAATATTTTGTCATTAGATTCGGTGCAGAATTTCATTTTGAAGTTTGAAATAAAATTTTGTACTCATGCATGTATGTGTTGTGGATTCGGTAGCTTTACTTGCAAATTAGATTACATTCCATACTTTGATACACTTTTAAAAATGAAAACGGTGTAGTTTGCCCATAAGTTATTTACTTTATTCAAGTAGGCCTTGAATTGAATCTTTTCTTGCTTATAAATGAAATGGTAAATTCAGTTCATTTTCAATCAATTTCATTCAGTTTCCTGCATGTTCTAAAATTTGAGTGCAAGGAGGCTCTATTTATAACTAGTGAGCCAGTTTATAAATTTCTGCAAGTCCAGTGCAAGTCCTGCTTGTATTTACTTTTGCTCTTTTGAAATGTTCACATCATATTTAGACAGTTAATTTTATTCTTATTTTAATAAATTTGTATTAATTAAATTCATTTTAGCAACGGCTTATAGTTAAATAACTCATTTTTATTATGCTCCTTTAAAGTGAAATTTTAGCAAAATTTGGCTCAATATCTACCCTGCATAAGGGGCATCCAAAAAACTGTCGCCCACCAAGCCACGAAAAAACACTCAGAGTGGATGTCAGACACCACAACCACAGTCTTCTATTGGATTGTGTTAAGAAAGATGTGTATGGATCTGTACACTTGTTCCAAACTTCCAATAATTTTCCAACCACATTTACATAATGTACACAAGTAATTAACTTTGATTTTTCTTACATTGCTAAAATAAGTGCATATAGAGCTTACCCATTATGTCATGAGCGTCACCCACAAGTTTTTTCTACCACAAATTCCCTCTCACCAAATGTGTTGCATCGGAATTTTTAAATTTTTTTGAAGTTGCTTTATTTTATGACTTTGTGCATGAGGAGTTGATGATGACATTGAGACAGTGAGATTATGGTAAGATCAAATCTCTCTCTTTTTAATTTTTTTTCTTTTTTTTGAAAAGATCAAGAGAGAAATGAGAAATATTCTTTCCTTTAGAAGAATATGGGAGAGATGAGAGATTGAAAAGTGGTGGGTGAGAGATACTTTTTAATTTTTTTTCTTTTTTCTTTTTTTTGAAAAGATCAAGAGAGAAATATTCTTTCCTTTAGAAGAATATGGGAGAGATGAGAGATTGAAAAGTGGTGGGTGAGAGATATTGAAGCGAGAGCTCCCTCTTGTGAGATTTCTACAATCCGGGATAACAGAATCCCGGGAACTACAGGATACCGCAATCCCATAAGCGGTACAAGCACCCATATGGGCTATAGCAGGGTTTTCCCGCGTGAGCTGCCGTCAGTCCCATGTGAAGCCCTTTTTTAGAATTATTTTAATTAGAATTAGGTTCATTTTGCTTAAGAGCTATTTATATGGTAGATTTTTGGATTTGTTAATGTTATTTGGAGAAATTTTCTCTCAGTTTTCTCAACTGGAGTGCTATATTCCTATATTTCCTTCAGGCGGTGTGTCTGTAACATGATAGTTTTGAGGTGGAGATCTCTTCTAAAAGTTCAAAGACCTCCTTTGTTGTTGAACTTGTTGTCTACTACTGTTTGACAACATAAGGTTGTTGTTGGGTAGCGGAGAACAACAGTTCCACTTCCAGTTTACTTCTCAACGCCATTCACGCCAGAATTCAGCCGCAACCATTCCTCCCACTTTCATTACCCCTACCACAACTTATCTATCCCTTTATTCTATTTTCTCACACGTTCTATAAGCCCTAGAACAGTGACATCTGATTTCAGATTTCGACAAACACTAATTTTTCAGAGATTTATCCTTTTTTGCCCCAAACCCAAAATTTAAAAAGAAAATACTCAAACCATTCCTATGGCAATTTCTAGATATGATCTCAAATTTTCAAAATTTAACCTTTTTACCTTCACAAAAAATTCACCCTGACAGGTATCACCAAAACCTAAGGCCCCGAGGAAACTTTGATTTATAATCCTACATCTGTTGAAAATCTGATTGATACCGGAGGAGAAAACTCAAACTACAAAAGAAACACAATACTATTGCTTAACTGAAAGAGCTTACAAACACGACACTCGGAAAGCAGGAAATACCGACAAACAAACATAAACAACAAAAACAAAAAAAGATATCCACAGGAGACAACGAGGACAAAAACTACAAGGTGGTATTAT